ATAGACCAGGCTTGTGGAGTGTTTATATTGGAAACTTCCCTAAAGCTCACTGCAGAAATCTGGCCAGGCATCCTTAGCATTGTTCATTATTTTGTTGTCAGGATAGCACAATTATTACATTTAATATGAAGTCTAGTTTTACATCTAGAGAGGCTTGGTGTGCTGTAGGCTTTATATACATTATTGTATATATTTTATGTATTGGTCCAGGTGAACACTGAGAATTTCCTGGATGTTTTTTCCCTTGCACTGTGAGATTCTGGGTAGGAAAAGCTGCTTTTATCAGAAAWAWCCCACTGAGCTTTACTAATTTGATMAATGTGCCTGTGAGTGACTCCCTTTCTCGTTTATGTTTAAACCAGTTAAGGTACTGAACACAAAGATCCTCTCTAAGGAATTCTCTCTGTCTCAGAGGTGCAAGTCTCAAATTGATAATAAGTGCTGAAAACTCAGGTTGCCTTTTTTCTACCCAAGGCAAAACAGGACAGGGCAAGAGCTGAAGTATTCCTAGACCACATTTACATCAGCAAATAATACAGTTTTTAAAGGATAAAAAGTGTTTTCTCTTAAACTCTGTTTAGTACATTTGGTCTTGCTTTTTCTGCCAATTTTCATGTGTGRMCRATTTTTTCCCAGTTACAAGTTTAAKTTTTTTCCCAGTTTAATTTTTACTGATGGTACAATTATCTGCTTTTAAAAGTTTAAGGAGCTGTAGAGTAGCTACTCTTTATTGGTCATATTTCTGTTCCAAGAGCACAGAATCCTGGAATGATTTGGATTGGAAGGGATCAGACAGAATTGCATGATATTTTTACTGTCAAAATATGCTTTGTCCAATGGCACTCAGGCCTTCAGCATGCTGGTAGATGTTGCTGCTGTTTATAGGATGTTTAATAGGATACAGTTAAATGAGGAGTCCTGTGGCAGTTGTCAGCCAGTTTTTGTCAATTAGCAGATTAATTAATTTATTAAAGAGGACAAAGCCCTTTGGGAACAGCAGTTGTGTCCCTGGAAGGTTTGGATGTGGATATTCCCAACATGGTCAAGGTGTGGCACCAGGGCTGGCACCTCATGGAGTTTCCTACTCCTGCTTTCCTACAGCTTGGAGCTCAGGGCACTGCTCAGGGCTGGTGCCACACTGAATTTCCTACTGCTTTCCTACATCTTGGAGTTCATGGCAGTGCTCAGCGGTGGTACCACCCTGAATTTCCTACTGCTTTCCTACATCTTGGAGTTCATGGCAGTGCTCAGCGGTGGTACCACACTGAGTTTCCTACTCCTGCCTTCCTATACCTTGGAGTTCAGGGCTTGTACCACTCTGATTTTCTTACTGCTTTCCTACAGCTCCGAGCTCAGGGCTGGTACCWCASKGAGTTTCCTACTCSTGCTTTCCTACAYCTTGGAGTTCAKGGCAGTGCTCAGYGATGRTACCACCCTGAGTTTCCTACTCCTGCTTTCCTACAGCTC